GTATACAGCATGTTGGCGTTACTGTGGCGTTTTAGGAATGTGGAAAGGGTATATACCGCGATTGTCACTCCTTGTAGTTTTGAAATGTGCTGCTACAGTAGAAGTTCGCTCCTTGAGCCGGCTGGTAATGTGGTAATCATAATGGTTGATGAGTAAATCGTCTTTGATCTTATTGTTTCAGGTGACATGTGATTTCAGTCACTCTCTAGGTGATTTGACTACCCATACTTCCGCAAGAACACATGTTTGCGTGTACTTTGCACAGTCGAGCCGATCCTTCTAGCATGCATCGATACCCCAGTCATCTTCACGAGCAAGCACTACAACTTCTTCTTGGACTTCTCTGCTTCTTCTCGCATCTCCTCCTGATCATCTTTGAATGCCATGATGACATATGCGATCAAGACCACGTTGGCCATAAGTGCTGCCAGACCACCCGCCCATGTTGCGTTGCCTGGGTAGAGTCAGTGCCAGTTCCAAACCTCTCATGAACAACTTACCCTTGAAGACAAAGTTGACAGTGAAGAAGTATGTGCCAATTGGCAGTGTGATCATGGCAAATGTGAAGCTCATCAACTTCCAAATGACCGATCTGTCGCCATTGTCAGCCATTGCACTATAGCCATGATATCCAGCATAAAGGCGACTCACGATGGCACCGCTGGCGAGGTGTTGGACGGCTCGGGGGCAGCCTTTCCATCATAGTCCAGAGACGCCTTCTGCTCGTTTACGGTTCTTCTAGTCGTCATTCTGCAGATGGGGCCTGTATGTCGTGGTGTTCTGGCTCGTGAGGAAGCGACGGACCAGGCCCTCAGCCGAATTCAGCAACGTAATAGGCTCTCAGAATGGTCCAAGCTCAATATCTTTACGCGTAGTAAAGTGGTTTTAACGCGTTGTGTTTGGTGATCCGCGTCGCCAGGCAAACCCTTCCCAGGCTCCTTCCTGCCTACGCTCTGTGGGTGTTTTAGCATACCCGTTGCTTTGTCCACTTCGCCTTTGTTAGTGCGCCTGGTCGTTGTTCTCTGCGTCTTCTCTTTGCGCTGCTCTACTTCTTCCGCCCGCGAACGAAGCGGCGAAATTGACTACGGCATCCACTACCACGACGGCATCCTTACTCTGCTCAACCCGCTGCCATAGTGCAGTCGCACAATGTACCGCCGCGATCCCATACTGTCGTCTTCTCCGCCCCCGATGGCACCGCGCGCCTCTCCGCACAGCGACGACGAGCGCGATACCTACGTCACGCAGCCTACGCAAATCCTTGGGGAGCGCTCGCCCTTCTTTGCAGCGCCGTCTGATACCACGCAGCCCACGCTCATAGTCACGCCGCGCGCGCACCCAGTCCAAGCCACGGCTTCTTCCTCGCAATTACAAGTCCCGCGTTCGTCGCCCGCCCCTCAGCGCGACTCGTCACCTGTCATGTCGCCGCCGTCGCAGTCGCAACGCCCATACGGGGGCTACAGCAACCCAATGGCACCGCCCGGCACAGGCTTCTTTCCCCCACAAGCAGTCCGCAAACCAGTCGTCGACCTCACCTCGGACGACCCACCTGTTGAGCGCGACCCAGACGAGGACGAGTCGGAGTATAGGTCTAATATACCCTTGTCCAAGATCGAAATGGCATCAATGACATCGAGGATCGAAGAGACACCACAGAAGCCGACCTGGGATCTTTCGAGTTATAAGTACGGCAGCGACCAGTCGCGTAAACGACCAGCGGAACGATTCGAGTCGAGCACACTACCTAAGCGACAGAAACCTCTGCAGCCGCAAGGGGGGCCTTCACGCGCTATACCTATAGACTTGACCGAAGACAAGGAGATGACCATGGAAGACATCCATGACTTGAGCACGTATACCAAAGTCAAGCGACTACAGGCTATATATCCGAACCGCTCTGTCAAGCAAATACACGATGCTTTGACAAAGCGAAAGGGCAACTTCAACGATGCCTCCGAGTATCTGGCGGAACAGGAGTCCGAGGATGAGCTGCTGCGGTCTCCTCCTCGCCCAGGAGTCGCACGTACAGCATCAAATCCAGTTGTAAAGAAGACGGCACAGCGAGGTCTTAAGCAGCCTGTACAGTCGCTGCAGAACAAGTACTCGAAGTTAGGCGCGACTCAGAACAGCCCAGTCACAATCGAAAGCCCCGAGAAGGAACCACCGAAGCCAAAACGTCGACTCAAGAGTGGAAAGGATCGCAAGAAAGCCGTCTTCTCGCCCTCCCCCGAACCCGCACCCGTACGACCGCAACAGAAAACAAAGAAGGAGGCGGCGATCGTTGTCTCTTCCGACGAAGACGAGGGTATTGCTGCTGATCTCATGATCGACGACGATTCGGAAGCAGGTGGCTCGGTGGTGGAGAACAGCTTTGACGATAGTAAATTGTTGAACCTGTTCAATACCTGTACCGTGGAGGAATTAATCGACTTGTCGAGTCACAAAGAAGAGGACATCAAGGAGATCTTCAAGCACCGCCCATTCAAGTCTCTCGATGCTATTCGCAAGGTCCATGTGGATCTCACGCCAGTAGAAAAGGGCAAGAAGAAGTCTCGCAAGCCACGTATAACAACCGGACAGCGACTTGTGGAATCTACCGAGGCCATGTGGAATGCATACAACACCATCGACTCGGTCGTTCAGCAATGTGAGGCTCTGGGCAAGCCGATGGTTGCAGGCATGGCAAAATGGGGTATTGATATCTTTGGTGCTTCCACAGAGGATGGAGTCGAGATTACAAGTCTCGATGATGCTAGCGACACGAACTCTTCTCGCGACTCAGGTTATCATACCCCTCGGAGCCCGAATGGCAGCGATACGGAGCCTAACAGCATACGAAAAGCGGCCACTCGTACAAAGCTTTTGACACAGCCCGCGATCATGAACGACGACATTGAACTCAAGGATTACCAGGTCGTAGGCCTTAACTGGCTGAACCTCTTATGGAAGACTAAAACCTCGGGTATTCTGGCCGACGATATGGGTCTGGGAAAGACATGCCAGATCATCGCTTTTCTGTCACACCTCAAAGAAGAAGGCGTCGGAAAGCCTGCGCTTATCGTTGTGCCTGGATCTACACTAGAGAACTGGTGTCGTGAGTTTGAGCGCTTCTCCAACACGATCAACTTTACGCCCTACTATGGATCACAGGCGGAGCGGTTCTCTCACCAGGAGAGCATTCTCCAAAACATCCGCCAGGGAACGTGCGATGTGATCATCACGACATATGATCTTACCTTTAGAAAGGACGACTCTTCGTTCTTGAGAAAGTGCAGGCCTGAGATCTGTATCTTTGATGAAGGGCATATGCTCAAAAACGCCAACACGATCCGGTACAAGAGCTTGATGAAGATTCCTACGACTTGCAGAATTCTGTTAACAGGAACGCCACTTCAGAACAGTCTTCAGGAGCTTATGTCGATTTTGGGTTTCCTCATGCCGCAGGTGTTCTATGGTGACCAACAGGAGGAAGTTCAGGAGATGCTGCAGATTCTGTTCAAACACAAGGCCAAGACTATGGAGAGCGACTCGCATAGCTCACTGCTTTCTGCGCAGCGTATTCAACGCGCTCGTACGATGCTGACGCCGTTCATCCTCCGACGAAAGAAGGCTCAAGTGCTCAAGCATCTACCGAAGAAGACGTCCCGTGTCGAGTACTGCAATCTTACCGATACGCAAAAGACGCTTTACAACGAGCAGTTGGCCAAGCAGCGCAAGATCCTTGAAGACCGAGCAGCAGGCATACCCGTCAAGGACCATGCCAACGTTATGATGAAGCTGCGACAAGCAGCCATCCACCCCCTACTTTTCCGCCACCGGTACAACGACGACAAGATCCGGAAGATGTCAAAGGCGTGCCTCAAAGAAGACATGTTCGCCGAAAGCAGCCCAGACATCATCTACGAAGAACTCCAGCTATACCAAGACTACCAATGCCACCAGCTCGCCTCCAAGTACCGCGCACTCAAGAAATTCGAGCTCCAAGACCAGGAATGGATGGACTCTGGCAAAGTCGCCGCGCTCCTCGCTCTGCTGAAAAAGTACAAAGAGAACGGCGACCGCGCCCTAGTCTTCTCGCAATTCACGTCCGTCATGGACATTCTCGGCTGGGTCTTTGATGACCACGACATCAACTTCATGCGCATGGACGGCTCCACACCGATCCAAGAACGCCAATCCCTCATGGACGTCTTCTACCAGGACGAATCCATCCAACTCTTCATGATCAGCACCAAGAGCGGTGGCGCGGGTATCAACCTCGCCTGCGCAAACAAAGTCATCATATTCGATTCGAGTTTCAACCCTCAAGACGACATCCAAGCAGAGAACCGCGCGCATCGCGTTGGTCAGACGCGGGAGGTCGAAGTCGTCAGACTAGTCACCAAGGGAACAGTCGAAGAGCAGATCTACGCGCTTGGTGTCAGTAAACTGGAACTGGATAAGATGGTCCAGGGCGAGGAGAGTGAGGAGGGCGCCAAGGGCAAGGGCAAAGGGAAGAAGAAGGACGAGGTGGCCGGTGCGGCTGATAGTCTGAGCAAAGCGGAGGAGGCGGGTATTGCGGCTGTGGAGAAGATGATGATGGCGCAGCTTAGTGCGCCGGAGTCTGCAGAGGTGGAGAAGACGGCTGAGGCTGTAAGTGGTGAGGGGGATGTTAAGGAGCAGTTTTTGAATGGCTTGAAGAAGGCGGGTTTGGATGTTGCTGCCTGATTCTATTCCAGCCGGCACATAATGGATGGAGTGGAGTGTGCGAGGTGTTGTTGGCACAGATTCCAGACGGCCTTTGCCATTCAAAGGTCTATAGATATGTTTTTTGGTTAGATGCGATCTTTTCTGTACTGCATATGCAGAGTCAGCATCCAGCGATGGCGTTGGAATGATGCGATTTATCTGCACATGCAATATTATGGCATTTGCCCAAACTTGAATTATGTACTACTATCTTGTACTCGAAACTATATACGGCGCCTGCTCCTAATATCCACACATACTCTGCGTTCTCTCTAATCCTTTACACTCACACCAGCTTTACTCGCGTCCTTGGCAGATTGCTTCTGCGTCTTGGGTGTGTCTTCTTCTTCCTCCGAGCTCTCCTCGTCATCATCATCGTCGCTGTCTTCCTCTTCTGAACTCTCCTCTGCTTCAGCTTCTTTCTTGACTTGCGTCGCGGGTTTCCCTTTTGTAGCCAGTGGTGCAGGTTTCTTGTCCTCTTCGCTGTCCTCCTCGCTCTCTTCTTCTTCGTCACTATCCTCTTCTTCTTCACTGCTCTCTTCGGTCGCTGCAGTCGCTTTTGCTGGGGCTTTAGCTGCCGCTGGTTTATCCGCATCGGCATCCTCTTCTTCGGAGCTCTCCTCCTCGGATTCTTCTCCCTCGCTATCTTCGTCCTCCTCACCACTCCCCTCGTCTTCCTTCGTTGTCGAGCTTATCGGTCCAGCACTAAGCGAAGGGTTCTTCGCATCGTCGTGCATAGATGGAGGCGCATGAACGGGTTTCTGCAGATCGGAGAGCTTGGGGATACCCGGTTTCGCGGCAGCCTTGGTATCTTTTGTGCTCTTCGACTTTGTATCTTTGCTCTTTGTGTCTTTGCTGCTTGAGGGTTTCGACGACTTTGACTTTGCGACGGGCTTTCCCAGGCCAAAGAGTCCTCCTGTTGCGGGTTTTCTTGTAGACTTTGACTTTGCATCTTTTGAGGATGTGGTGGTCTTTGCCTTGGTGTCTTTCGCTTTGGAGTCCTTTGCTTTCGCGTCTTTCGCGTCCTTTGCCTTGGTGTCCTTCGCCTTTGTGTCTTTGCTCGTGCTTGATGTAGCGGCTTTCGCGTCCTTCGTGCTCTTCGCGTCTTTTGTCGCTGTGGTCGTGGCTGCAGGCTTGGCCTCCGCTTTGGCGGTCGAAGCAGCAGCCTTTGTATCTTTGGTCGCGGTCTCGGTCGCGGTCGCGGTCGGTGTAGCAGGCGTCGCAAGCTTCGGTGTCTCGGGTAATGGGACAGATTTCGGCGAGAGGACGCTGCTAGGGTCTTCCTTTGTAGGGCTCTTCTTCGACGTCGCCGAGGTTGGTGTGTTCGTCTTCTCAGCCAGCAATGGGTTTGTAGTCTTGATGTTGCTTGGAGTAGGCTTCATCGACGCGGCCTTCTTCGCAGCTTCAGCCCCTAGCTCACGGAGCGCCAGGTTTGTCTCTGGACTGGGTATAATGACATTCTCCTTTTTCGCAGCTGCGCTTGTGGATGAGAAGGAGGAGGTGGTCGTAGCTGGCGCAGCCATGGGTGGTGGGCCGGGCTTCGCAGGAAAGGGCGTGAAGGCTGCCGTGACGCCCAGCGCTTCTCGAATCTCGTCGTACTCGTTCCATTCTTCGATCTCGGTGATGCCCTGTAGGATACACATTAGCCTCATGTCCTAGCTACGCGCTTTCTCCTGTACCTACACCCAGAACATATCCCTCTTTGACGATCAACGGTAGCTTCTTCCCGCTTGCTCTCCGCTGGAACAGCTTCTTTGCGAGCTCATCTGTCGCCGTGTCGACTCCCTTGAAAGGGATCTTGTTCGCCCTTAGGATTGTTTCGATTCGAGACGTGGCAGTAACAATGTGAGAGGACCCGGCGGTCAGCGAGGTAAAGAGATATATCGTCGGGTCGTTGTCGTAGACGCTTAGTTCGGCCATGACTGAGGCTCGGTCGGGAGTCGCGCGGGGTACGGAGGATAGCTGTGCTGTGCCCTCGTTACGGTGGCGAAAGAGGCAGAGAGAATAGGAAGGCAAGCCGGCGTATATTGCGGAGGTTTTATAGGCCTCGAGACGACGACGTGTAGCGATTGTAGTTTCATAAGTCCACGGGTTTCATAACACGGCCCTGACAGGACGAGGGTCTAGTGGGGCGCTAGCTTGGACCCTTTATTTCACAATAGAGTAGATCGGCGGGCATGCGCCAACTCGCGAGTCACCATGCACATGTCAAACACCATTTGGGATTTTAAAGTTGAAGATATGTTTGCATTATTCATATCGAGCGAATGACATTACAGATTATTCCAGAAAACATAACTAGTGCCGTTTTTCTCGTGACTACACATTATGCTGGCGTGGGACCATTGGAGTATTTGCTAGCAAGAACTGTCATCAGGGCGTCGCTGACTTCGAATTCCTCGAGGACTGCGCCAAAGCTGGGTAGGGTCAGTGCATGTTCAGCTGAAATCAGAGTGATACCAACGTACCCGTAGCAGCGGACTTTGGCAAGGAGCTCCTTCTTCACGAGCTCAATGTCCTCTTTGGAAAGATCCCTGAAGCATTCGTCTTGGAGGATCTTCGCCCAGGCCATGATAGGCGTGATTTCCCCATCAAGGGGCAGACGATTGCTGAGATCGAGTAGTTTCATCAAATCCGGCATCTTGACGTCCGGCATCTGATGTGGATACTTCTCCTCGGGGCAATTCGTAATGTGCGCATCGGGAGGTGCCGTTGCCATGAGCGCATGGCCGCTGATGTTCTCGTCGGCCTCGTTGGCGCGGACCATTAAGAACTGCATGTGGTCCATGCAGGGTCGCTCGAGCCTGTTAGACGCAGTCGTCAGAACAGATCTCGTAAAGATAACGAATGACGTACGGAGGCCAAAAAGAATGAAGAAGAAAAGACGTAAGCGCATTACTGCTGGGGTGGAGGAGAAAGATAAGGCGATCGGTCGTACGTTAAGACGAAGTCAATGCCGATCTGGTCATAGTCCATCGAATGCTGCTGATGGTGACCAGACTGCTGGGCTTGTTGTTGTTGAAGAGTCAAGGCTTGACCGTTCATTCCATCATGAGAGCTGGATCCGCGTGTTGGTGGCGATGTGTAGCCAGTCGACGCTGATCCTGGCCCGTAGCCTGACATGCTGCCAGTGGAGCTTCCGTAGGCGGAGCTGTCGACGCGGCCCATGCCATTGCTCCCTGGGCTGGAGTGGTCGAAGGAGATGCCATGTGCCATGAGCAGCTCTCTCAGTCGGCGGTTCTCGTCTGCGAAAGCGTCCCGTTCCCTCGTAGTAGCCGCAAAGGTATCCTTCAGACGGATCACCTCCTGCTCGAGGGCCTTGATGTATAGCTCCTTTCGCTCTCGGTGTGTTCTTGTCAACAAGTCAGTGCGTGATACAAGACATGGCTTGGCTGATGTTACCTCTGCGCCTGGCGGTTCAGCTCTTGCCGTCTGGTCAAAGCCGGTTTGCTATCCGGTTTGGGTCCTCTTCTCTTGGGTGGTTGGCCATCTTGCAGGAGTCAGCCACCAGATCGAGGCGATATCTCAATGAACGAACCTCTTGTTGTCTTCTTGTCGGTCAGACCCTTGAAGAATCCAAATTGTGCTAGAGGACTCTTAGATTCGCTTCCTACAGAGTGCCACTGCCCGGTACTCTCCATGTCCGACGCAAATCCAGCCAAGCTGCCCCGCCTGCTGCTGCTCATGCTCACTTCCGAGAAACACTCGGAAGCCCGACGAGAAGCAGCAGGTGAGGGGTACTCGATGGCAGCGCCGGATGGAGGGTAGGTGGGCGCCATGGTCAGCGCATGCGCATTAGGCCAGGACATATAACGAGCATGCGACATGATGTTTCGATATTAGGTAAGAGATGAAAGAAACAAAAAGGAATATTATGTATGTGTGTATGATGAGCTTTGACGAGAAAGGAGAGTAGTGCGGCCATGTATATGTAGTGTCGCCAGCGCCTCGCCGGGTGAGGCACGCAAGCGTTCGCAGGGTCTTTGGCCGTTAATGCATCGATCTCAACTCAACGGCCGGCAACCATGCGAGCCGCGGGGAATGTTGCAACGTTCATGCTAACACGAGCAGAGCTGTCAAGGTTGTCATGGCGAGACTGGTCATGTCTCTGCAGCACGTTTCTGGGAGTGGAGTAACGACGCGAGAAGCTTCAGCAGCGGCGACCCAATGGCGGATGCCATGTCTACGTGCCAAGAACAAACCGTAGGAATCGCGAAGCGGAGCCAAAACAGATACAACTTCAAAACGTGGAGCGATTAAAGCGCTGGAGACTGCCAAGAGAAATTCCACATACCACTGCTGTTGTCGCGATGACTGGCACCCTCGGAGGAGGGGTCGGTTTTGATAGTAGTTGCCATGCTATAGGAGCGGCATTGGCAGCAACGCGCACTTATGGGTAAACGGTTCTCACCCTCGGCGCCGAAATGGCGGAGAAGCCGTCGAGTTGCAGTGAGCGATGCGCTAGACGCAAGTCAGTCCACAGGGCGACAATGAACCCCTGCGCACATCCGAAACGTACAAAAGTCGGGCTCGTCGGCGCGCAGAGATGACGAGTAGACAGAGCCGGTGCCCGCGGTTCTGCCGTGGGGTGTTTGGGTATTTGAGCAGCGAGACTTTGAGGGTACGTCTAGTTGTAGTGGAATGCGGCCGAGGTCCTCCTGTTCCGTGCTTCCGAGTTGGGCCAGACGGCGATGATGAAGAGACGGTTGCAATAGGCGACGAGCTGCCGGTCAATTGAGACAAGCGATGGTGCCCTTGGCGTCGCAGAGTTGAATGTAGCACAGGAGAGGGCACGCTGGTCTGGAAGGACGTGCCAGGGTAGCTCGACTCCTACACTTGCAGTGCGATGTTCAAGGCGATTTAGTAGCCAGCCATGCACGCAATAATGCGCTACACACTCGAGATCGTCGGCGAGAACACAGCCCCAGCTAGCGATTTGGAATCTGCCTGCCATCCGGGTCTGGAGGTTGCAAGATGAGGCGGTCAGTGCACAAGATCGAGCCAAACAGCCTTTGGAGCAATCACAGCCAGAGCGCGGAAGCAGCTTGTGATCCGCTGGTGTTTAGCGGCTTCATTCTGCGGCTCTGCAGCGACTCCGGTCTAGAGCTTGCAGCTGGCGTGCAGTGCAGTGGCGCCGTGCGACACCCAACATCCCAGCTTTACAGCGCAAAAACAAAGGGTCGGCGCGCAAAATACCCCATGGCATTGTGTCATGGGCGATGCATGGTCAGGGCTGGGTATCAAAACCTGGCCCAGCCACTTCGACCGCCCGATAAGTCTCGGGCACGCCTTCCCGAGGTCCTGTGGCGGGTGCATTCTGCTCTACCACACTTCAACGTACTTCGTATAACAGCTATCCACTTAGACATGCAGTTGCCTACTCCGTACGGTCACGTTGTGCGGTATATACGATTTGCGGGGCAGCCAATCGCTATATTTCCTGACGTCGACCCTTACGACATAGCGCCTACTTGATCGTACCATCGGAATGCGATTAGGAAGCAAGACTGGTCACATATCCTCCATTGTACTATATAGCCTGCTCTAGATGCTCCAGATCGGTTGAGTAATCACTGTGGCCTTTGAGCAGATCCCGCAGCCGTATCGGAGTGCCTATAGCTTTGGCTTGTTGTCGAGGATCTTCTCAATCTCCTCCATGAGCTCCGGTGTCAACTTCTCGAGCAGCTTGAGAGCGCCACAGTTGTCCTTGACCTGTTCGGGCTTCGTTGCGCCAAGAATAACAGTAGACACATTCGGGTTCTTAGCTGCCCAGGCAAGCGCGAGTTGAGTCGTGGTGCCTCCAAGTTTCTCAGCAATCTTAGTCAGTTCCTTGACCTTCTTGATCTTAGCCTGTCCCTCGTCGCTCTTCAGCGCCTCGATTGAGTTCTTGAAGAATTCGGGGTTAGTCGCGAATCGGGAGTCGGACGGAATGCCATCGTTGTATTTGCCAGTCAACATGCCCGAAGCCTAAGTGTTGGTACACGCGTTAGCATAGATCTCGGATGTAGTAGGTTCGTTCTGAGTTCTTACCAGAGGTGACCAGATGGTCGTTCCGTATTGGTACTTCTTGTACAATGGAGCGTATTCCTTCTCGAAGCGCTCACGGTGGAAAGCGTTGTACTGAGGCTGCTCCACGATAGGGGCGATTAGGTTGTACTTCTCGGCGATATCGCATGCCTCCTGGATCTGATCCGCAGACCATTCGGATGTACCCCAGTAGTATGCCAAGTTCATCTGGATTGTCTGGGTGAAAGCTTCAACGATCTCCTTCATGCCAACGCTAAACATACGTTAGTAGGCACTCGGAAAGCAGAAAGCTAATACATACTCAGGGTCGTAGCGATGAGCAAAAACAACGTCGACGTAATCGTGGTCAAGACGCTTCAAGGAGCTCTTCAAGCCCTCGACAATGTGCTTCTTGGATAGACCCCTACGCGTTCATTAGTTGAGTAAGAGTATGCAAGACGGCCATATTACCTGGTGTTTGGCTCCTTCCTCTGAGTTCCGAAGAAGACCTTTCCATTACTGTCAGTCCCCACTCATGGCATGATGAGACTGATCTTACCTTTGTCGACAAGACGTACTCGTCACGCGGCCACTGCAGCTCCTTGAAAGCCTTGCCCATCTCAAGTTCGCACTCACCGGCTGCGTATACCTCGGCAGTGTCGAAGAAGTTGATGCCATGGTTCCAAGCCTCTTGCATGCAGTCCTTCACGATGGAACCCTTCTGCGTTCCTCCGTATGTCAACCAACCTCCCAAGGACAGGACCGAGACCTTCAACCCAGCGGGTCCAAGGCGACGGAACTGCATGCTATCTTGACATTAGCAAATGTTCAGATGTAACAGATGTAAGAGTACACATGTCAAATTGCGAATTGAACACAACCACGCATCGAGGCAGACTATTTCGTACTAGCAATTGACGTGACTTACTCCTTGGGGTCAAACTTTGTCTCGACTGCAGGCATTTTGGATGTTTATTACGAGTTGTTTGCTGAAGAGGAAATTTGGTTGTGTATGAGCTTAAATGAGGGGCAGGCAGGACACCTAGGCATAGAGAAGCAGTTGCCCCACCGTGGACGGCAACTATGATGAGGTCACGTCATGCGGGGTTAAGGCAAACTCCGTAACGGCACAAGGTAGAAGAATTGCCGTATGCCTTGGGTAAACGCGACTGAAAGATTTGGGAAAGATCAGCTACTGTACACACCAAGCGGCGCAACGTTCCGCCTTACTTACGGCTATCACATTTGCGGCGGGTCAGGGCTGAGGCACCCGTGGCCAAGCTCGTAAGCCGCAACAACCTTTCTTCCGCCCGCTACCAACCAGAATGCCCCATTCAGCTCTTCGCTGGATGCCTATCGTCCCAGAACTACCCTATAATTTTGTTGCGGTGGCACTAGAAGCTGTTTAAACTCCTGTCTAACTCCTGTCCAGCGGCATTGGCGAAAGCTTGACCTCGCTCGTTTCATGTTTCAAACATCCCCGGCAGCTGGGTGGCGCAGAACCAATCACAGTCGCACAACGCGTATTCACGTGCATAGTTCGTCACCTCGCACAGGCAATGATTGGCCGTCACTGCTCGTTGATCTGGGGAATACGGTAAGACGGGTTCCTGACTATTGTGCTGACGGCGCACCTCAAGGGGGATCCTTAGGCGCGCCACGATGCGCGCCTAAGGTCATATATCTTGGCCGTCACCTTCCTTTATCGCTTCTATACACTGCCTCCTCACGGTCTCTCAATCCCTTGTTTAGATCACTAGCTTCTGCAGGCCTGAAGCAAATTCCATTCAACGTCACTCATTCAAGAACACTGTTCTGGCCACTTACTTTACAATACAAGTTCTGCATTCGGACTATTCAAGAGCTCCTTCTTACTTAAGACCATCACCTCGCACCAGACTTGGCCTCAAACATCACTCATTATATATACACCAACATCATCAAAGAACATCAACCTTACAACTATATACCTATATACTCCACCAATCAGCCGATCAACAACATGGGTTTCAAGAAGAACATCCTCGTCGCAAGTGCCTTTGCACTCTGCGCTTTCGCAGCACCTGTCCCCGCCCGGGGCCCCGATTGCGACCTTGAAGATGCCCCGGCAGCTCCCCCAGCAGATGCCCCAACCACCGAGGCGAGCCTGACTGCAGACAACTTGATCGCCATCGCCCCCACCACCGCGTCCTGCGACGGTGCACCATTCCCCGACGAGTGTGCAGATGCAACTGCAGCCGCTACTGCTATCAACAAGGCCTTCGAGACCTACAAGATCACATCCAAGGGCGAGAGGGCGGCGATCGTTGCGTATGAGCTCTTTGAGAGCGGAAACTTCAAGTACAAGAGGAACCACTTCCCCGAACCAGGTAGGCCTGGCCAGGGCACAAGGAGTAAGTAACGCTGTTATGATGAACTGCCCATGCCACAGAAACTGACTTGTGTATTTAGTGATGGCTATGCCCCCCATTATCGAGAAGTACGCAACCGCTATTGCAGGTGCAGACGCTGTCGCGACAGCAAAGGCCACTGGAGTTGATGCCGTTCTCGACCTGGTCAACTCTGACGACGAGAAGAGCTTCGGTTCGGCGGCTTGGTACGTTACCACGTGCAGTGCGGAAGTTCGAGCTGGCCTTGACGCGGCCACCATCGAGGGCTGGCACGCTTTCTTGACCGAGTGTGTTAACACCCCACCTGCTGCTGAGCGTGACACTCTGTGGACTGCGACCACGCCTAACGTCCAGTGAGAAGACTGAGAAACGTCACCAAATTGGGTCGGTGACGGAGCTATTATTCATGGCGCATTGGGCTTGGGTAAGCCTATTGTACCCCTCTTCACTAAAGGTGGAGTTTTCAAATGTAACGACTTGCTACGAATTTCCTATACAATTATTCCAATTTCATTATCTACCATGTGTGCAATATGTGTGTTTAGTGGTTCGGTGACATCTCTACATTCACACGATACTTCGCTGAAAGTAAATGTTGTGGTTCTGTCGAGTTAGCGCGAGAAACTGTGAAGATACCGGCTATTTGAATACTGAGTTTAACTTGTATTGAATACATTATACTAAAGCAGCCTGGCCACTAGAAATGAACGGCCGATACATTGCGTTGGCTGAAGAGAAAGAAGAGAAAGAAGAGAAAGAATGTAAGAGCGGTACTATGCTTAAATATATACAAGCAGACATTTCATAAAGTCCTCCTACCAAATAATGTATACCATTGTCCGCTTCAAATCGGTGAGACCTCACCCCAAGCCCCAACATCTTCCCTCGACATGAGCTCTCCACACTCAGGACATGTACATCCATCCAATCCATGCGTACCCGCACACTGCCTGACCCATGCCTGCAAGCACCCAACGCAAGTCGCAGGCTCGTGCCAGCAATTGGCTGTGATCCTGCGCTCGCTGAACTCGAATACTGGCCTTGACGTCTTGCAGAGAATGCAGGTGCGTTCGATGGCTGGTGTGTTGCGGCGTGAATTAGGAGTCATTGCCCGGGGGCTAAGAGAAGTGTCGAAGGCGGGGCGCTGGTATGGTTGGGGAGCGGTACAGGTAATGTTCGGGGAAGGCAAGGCGACTATGCTGCTACGTTGGGATTGCATCGACACGGGGCGTCCTTGGGATTGCCACGAAACAGGACGTCCTTGGGATTGCATCGAAACGGGTCGTCCTTGGGATTGCATCGATACGGGACGTACTTGCCGCAAGTTTTCGTTGGATAGCTGTGAGGGTAGTGTAGTTGGTGATAGCGAGTTTCCGCTGCTGCGGCGTCGCTCTGCGGAGGCGGCGGGACTTGGTGGGGCGTCGGTCCAGGGCGCGAAGGGTGCTGGAAGGGGTGCTTCGAGTTGGGCTGACTTGACGCTCATGTCAAAGGGCGAGTAGGTTGGTGTCGGGATGAGGTCGACCGCCGAGAGACGTTTGGATGCTGCTGGGTCCTGGTTGGCTTCGGCTTCGTAGACCTGCAGGTTTTCCTGCGTTAAGTTCATTCTCCGCAGATCTTCGACAACCGTTGCAAACTTTTGCTGCTCATGTTGAGCTGAAGAGTCTCTTCTCCTAGCGCCAAAGTTCTTCAACGCTTGCGGTATGGTTGACCATCTGTGCTTGATCTTCTTCTCTGGTTTGTTCTTCTCTTCCGATGTCGCGAAAACATCCAACGTGGAGTGTATTGGTGTTGCTGGCGTAGCAGAGAAGACTGGTGGGGGTGAAAACGCAAGTTTTGAGGATGTTACAGGCGTGGGTGGACCGACTTCATCGTCCCCGTACTGCTGATAAACCATGTCATTCTCAATATTCTCCCCTGCGATAGCTTTAGGTGCACACCCTGACACGGGCCGCGATTTGTTCTGTGGGTAGCTGTTGTTCCGTAGTCCTCGCGAGGACGCAATCTTGGTTCCGGAGCGATTCCGTTGGTGGTAGGTCGCGAAGGATGTAGGTCGTGGTCGCGGCTGCATTGGCGGGCTGTCGAGTGCGGTGGAGCTTTGGGGGTGATATGAGATGGGTCGTTGCGTTTGTGGACTGTTTGCATCGTTCATCGGCGGATATGTCCACTGCGTAGAGTTTACTTGTGGCCTCTCACATTCACAACTGCCTCGGGAAGAAATGCTGCTCCTAGGCTTGTCTGAACTGTCAAGATACGATGATGCAGGCCCCTGACCTGGTGTATTAGGGCTCATGGTGGCTGGCGAAGCAATCCATTCTGGCGATAGCAGGTGTTGCGCGTTGTATGATGTCGGTCGTATGAGCGGTAGCGGTCGTCGCTTAATCGGGGATGTATTGACTTTCGTGCTTGGTTCTGTCTCCGGGAGCTTGCTCAACGTCTCCTCAGGATTGAAAGAGGAAGCCGGGCGGTTCGGGTTCGTCCATTTGTCCAGCAGGTCAGAGTCGCTGTCCTCCTTTGGCTTCTCTTCGATGGGTTTGTCTTCAATCACTACCTTTTCGACGATGGCCTCCATTTTCTGCTCTTGTGTCACCTCTCGAGACACGTCTTTTTCTTCTTCGACATCGGAAATCTCCAAATGCTCGTACATCGGTCGTTCCAACCATCGTGTTGTTACCGATTTTTCGCGTTGCAAATTTCTTAGAGCTTCCTCAGAATCTGCGATCAAGCCAAGCATGCGTTGCGCCTTTGCAGAATCCCTCTTAATCGGCCGTGGATGCCTCAGAAGTGGATGTACGTCATCTTGAACATGACTCTGCGCCACAGCCGCCATAGTTGTGAAGCCGTTCAGCCGAAACGAGGGAGGCCTGGAGAAATACCAACAACAGCGAACGTGGTTGGGGGGAACGAAACAGTGGGCACGAGCAACACAATAAAACAAGAGGCAGGATCAACCCCTCGTAAGAACGTGGGACAGCGTCCCTCCATATCAGCAACATGCCGCGACCCTACCACTACCACGGACCCCGGCACGGTACGACTTTACTGTGTGGCTGGCAGCAGCACAGAACCGACAATCCGTTTCAAGCCCTTGCGCAGAGAGCCCGGAGCTGCGTAAATCACCGTTAGCTTGGCTCGCGCAACACTGCGCCTTCGATTATTCGTTGCTAGGGCCCGTATTGCGAGGCCTGCAGTCAGAGTAGTTCGGCGGTTTTGAGTGGTCCCCGCTGCGTGAGACGTATTTTTAGAACCAGTAGTAGGGCTTGGTGGGCATGGCTACGGATAGCCCACGCGATGCCGACACTTGTGGCCATTGACAAAAGATCATGCAATAGCTGTAACCGCATCGACATGAGGCTGCGAAGTACCACGATGACGACGCGTGGTTCGCGCTGGCGGTGTGAGCATCGCGTGATGGCTGGCGCAATCTCAGGTAACGAAAAAGATCAGCGAGCCACATAATCGACTGACGAACAGTGCCCGCTGTCGTGCCTGTGCTTCAATTTAGTTTCTGGAGTGGGTCTGTCGCCTCTGGTGCTCGAGACATGGGAGACCTGGAGCTCCTCGGCTTCTTGGGATCTATTTTGCTGATGAGTAGCCACTTGGTGTGCCACCCATTGTAGGGAGACGCGCATGCAGGCTAGGCGCTACCAAGGCGACAGAACTCAAGACGGATCAGTCCAGGCCTATCTCGCGCCTTCGAAGATCATGCAGCACACATGTAAGATGTTCGGGACGATCAGAAGAAGCAACGTGTCGGGCCCGCATTCTTGCAGGCTCTGGCATCTGTCGCCAATGAGTAAACTAGAACTTTAACTCTGAGTTGAACCCAGGGACAATGCACACAAAGCTGGCGTGAGTGGACGGACAATGCTATATGACCTGCGTTCGCCCGTTGGTAGATGGCTGTGCCGCATTTCGATATATTGCGAGGCGGACTAGGGTACCAGGCGTGGGCACAGTGAGAAGAGAGGCTGCGCCGCTCGGCTTGGGTGTGGCGGGTATCGATGAAGTCATTGTCTGTGGGCCTTGCAGCGACGTGATGCAGCCTGGCGACCTTTTGCACGCCTGTGTTGAGACTCCAAGCCATGGGTTTCGAGAGGAAGGGGGTGGGTGACTAAGCCGCTCGCGCTAGTGCCAATGCGGCCGCTCTGCCAAGCCCTGGATCGCGAAACTTTGGAGAAGCTCACAGGCTGTCGTCGCCCCAATCACCCCAACCCCAATCTACCCGTCACCACCTGCTGCAAACATGGCCGGACCGCGCGCAGGAAACTCGAGGGCCAACGGCGCCGCCAACGGGGACACGTCCAACAACAAGCAATCGCTCAACGAGCCCCTCGACAAGGAGCTCTACGGCGGAAACAATGGCGACTACGTCAGTTCCATCGCCGTTGCCGATGACGACGCCGACATGGACGACGTGCAGCTGAACGGCCGGAGCCTTGTGGGCCAATACACGGCATCCAAGGAGATGATGAACGAGTTTGCGCATGGTGATGCCGGAGAGGCGGATATCCTCGACAGTCGCGAGAAGCAGGCTCAGATCGCATCACGCGAAACCGACTACCAACGACGACGATTCGACCGCGCCCTTTCTCCGTCGCGAGCGGATCCATTCGCGAAGGACGGCGAAGATGGCGGCCAGTCGTACAAGGACGTGATGAAGCAGCGCGAGTTTGAGCGCGAAGAGGCGCGTGTGAAGAGGCTCATCGAGGAGAGGGAGAGGGACGGAGGCAACGAAGTCCTCGACCACAAGCCTACGCTCCAGGACGACGGATCCGCCCCTGTCGATGGCGACAAGACCCCACCCATGAAGAAGACTCGCAAGAGGAGACGCTGGGACGAGAGCGGCGACGGCGAAACACCTGCGATCAAAGAAGAGGCCGACGAGGCCACGGCAGATGGCGAGCCCAAGAAGCGATCGCGATGGTCACCGGCACCCGAGGAAGAAAAGGCAGAAGACAAGTCAGCTGAGGCTGCTCAACCGGCTCGATCGCGTTGGGATACCACAGCTGTAGCCCCCGCCAGTGCTGCAACGCCTGCTCCCGCCACCAACGGCGCCCGTCCAGTCGCGCAGACGTTCGCATTCGGCACCGATATCTCCAACCGCAATGCTCCCTTATCCGACGAGCAGCTCGACATGATGCTGCCTGGTGAGGCTGAAGGCTACAAGGTCCTCGAGGCTCCTCCTGGGTACGAGCCAGTGCGGCGACCAGTGGGCATGCCAGCACTTCCCACGGGATACCAAGGTTTCTTGCTTCCGGAAGCAGACAACAGCTTGGCTGCCATGGGCAAGCAGCTGCCCACAGAGATCCCAGGTGTCGGTGATCTTCAGTTCTTCAAGAACGAGGACATGAAATACTTTGGAAAGCTCACAGACGGTGCAGACGAGAACGATATGACCGTCGAGGAACTCAAGGAGCGCAAGATCATGCGACTCTTGCTCAAGGTCAAGAACGGAACACCACCCATGCGAAAGACCGCGCTTCGACAACTTACCGACAACGCCCGGCAGTTCGGTGCTGGCGCCCTCTTCAACCAGATCTTGCCTCTCCTCATGGAGCGCACCTTGGAGGATCAGGAGCGACATTTGCTCGTCAAAGTCATCGACCGTGTCCTCTACAAGCTCGACGACCTTGTTCGGCCTTACGTCCACAAGATCCTCGTCGTCATTGAGCCTCTCCTTATCGACCAAGACTACTACGCCCGTGTCGAAGGTCGAGAGATTATCTCTAACCTTGCAAAGGCCGCTGGTCTCGCACACATGATCAGTACGATGCGTCCCGATTTAGACCACCAAGACGAATACGTCCGAAACACCACCGCTCGAGCCTTCGCCGTCGTCGCATCCGCCCTCGGTATCCCCGCCCTCCTTCCCTTCCTCCGCGCTGTGTGTCGATCCAAGAAGTCGTGGCACGCACGTCATACTGGTGTGAAGATTGTTCAGCAGATTCCTATCCTTATGGGTTGTGCTATTCTTCCTCACCTCAAGGGACTTGTCGAGTGTATCGGCGACAACCTGAATGACGAACAGCCAAAGGTCCGCATGGTCACAGCTCTTGCACTTGCAGCTTTAGCTGAAGCCGCGAGCCCGTACGGTATCGAGTCATTCGACGATATCCTGAACCCTCTCTGGACCGGAGCCCGTCGCCAACGTGGTAAGGCTCTTGCATCGTTCCTGAAGGCGGTCGGTTATGTCATCCCGCTCATGGACGAGGAGTACTCCAACTACTATACCAGTCAGATCATGGAGATTGTCATTCGTGAATTCCAATCCCCCGATGAAGAGATGAAGAAGGTCGTGCTCAAGGTCGTTTCTCAGTGCTCGAACACTGCAGGAGTAACTCCAGTCTACCTCAAGGACAATGTTCTCCCTGAATTCTTCAAGCACTTCTGGGTACGCCGCATGGCTCTTGACAAGCGCAACTACCGACAAGTGGTGGACACGACCGTGGACCTGGCGCAGAAAGCCGGTGTTGCTGAGATCGTCGGTAGGATTGTTAACAACATGAAGGACGAGAACGAAGCATACCGCAAGATGACTGTCGAGACTGTCGACAAGGTTATCAGCACACTAGGAGCGCACGACGTCGACCAGCGTTTGGAAGAACAGCTAATTGATGGTGTGCTTGTTGCGTTCCAGGACCAGACCATCGAGGACCCCATTGTCATCGACGGTTTTGCTACGGTCGTCAACGCACTGGGTGAGCGTACCAAGACCTATCTCCCGCAGATCGTCGCAACAGTTCTTGCTAGGCTCAACAACAAATCCGCAACCGTCCGTCAGCAAGCAGCAGATCTCATCTCGCGAATCACCTTCGTGATGCAGAAGTGCGACGAGGACCCGCAGCTCATCAAGCTTGCGCAGGCGTTGTACGAATACCTTGGTGAGGAATACCCTGAGGTTCTTGGTTCCATTCTCGGTGCTCTTCGTGCTATCGTCACAGTCGTCGGTCTCCACGCCATGCAACCGCCTATCAAGGATCTGTTGCCCCGCCTTACACCCATCCTTCGTAACCGACATGAGAAGGTACAGGAGAACACCATCGATCTGGTAGGACGTATTGCTGATCGAGGTGCAAACTACGTCAACCCTCGTGAGTGGATGCGCATCTGTTTCGAACTCTTGGACATGCTCAAGGCTCATAAGAAGGGTATTCGTCGTGCTGCCAACAACACCTTCGGTTACATTGCCAAAGCTATCGGTCCCCAGGATGTGTTGGCCACTTTGCTTGGTAACCTTCGAGTTCAGGAGCGTCAGTCCCGTGTCTGTACTGCCGTCGCCATTGGTATCGTCGCCGAAACTTGTGCGCCCTTCACTGTCCTACCGGCTCTTATGAACGAGTACCGCGTACCGGAGCTCAACGTACAGAATGGTGTTCTCAAATCATTGTCCTTCATGTTCGAGTACATCGGCGAGATGGCAAAGGACTATGTCTATGCCATCACACCACTTCTAGAGGATGCCCTCATCGACCGAGATCAAGTGCATCGCCAGACTGCCGCTTCGGTCGTCAAGCACGTTGCTCTTGGCTGTGTCGGTCTCGACTGCGAAGACGCGATGATTCACTTGCTCAACCTTCTTTGGCCAAACTTGTTCGAAACCAGTCCTCACGTCATCGACCGCATCATCGAGGCTATCGAAGGTGTCCGCAATGCCATCGGTACCCCGCTTGTCATGAACTACGTCTGGGCTGGTCTCTTCCATCCAGCACGCAAGGTGCGAAACCCTTACTGGCGCATCTACAACGATGCCTACGTTCAGAACGCCGACGCCATGGTCCCAGCTTTCCCAACTTTCGAGGAGGACGAGGTCAGGAGACATGAGCTGGA